TCCTTGTCTTCCTTAATATCCAGAGAAGTAGGGCCTCATTGCTTCAGCTAATTATTCCACAGATACAGCTGTTGAAATATATTTTAACTTGTGTTTACATTATTTTATTCCAAAGGCCTTTGACAAGACTATTTGAGCTGCTGATTTCTGCAGCACTGAGTCAATGAAAAATTTTTAGCATGGTGGAGCATGCACATAGTCTCAATGAGGCAGATGATAACTTTGTTTAAGGTAATAGTGCTGAGCCTAAATAAAATGCGTCTTGCTCTCAAAAGAATATGTTAGATCCTTGATCTGAGTCCACTGGCAAAATGCTGGAGCTGTCAGTGGGCATTTCTAACATCCGTTTTCCTCATTTTACAGTTAAAATAATTGCTTTTTGAGTATATAGAACACCACAATAGCCAGCTCAGCTCCAGCAACTGCCTGGTGAAACCCCAGCTATGTCTCACCTGTACTGCCCAGTGCAGAGCTGTTTTGAAGTCCTTGTCCACCAGGGTCAGGTCTGCCCCCTTGTGCAGCAGAGTCTGAGTGTGCTGGGGCCTGTTGTGGAAAGCAGCCCAGTGAAGTGAAGTCATTCCCTGAAAACCACAAACCGGGAAAGCAAATAATTGTCACTCACAGGAGCCTTCAAGTCTCTGTAGGTAAGCTAGACAGTTGTGAAACTACTTGTGTCTGGCAGACTCTTCCCTCACCCTCTTGATTTAGAATGATTAGTAACATCTTCTGAAGTAGTGGAGTCATAAGGGGGAACCAAGAAATTATCTTTTTGGAGTTATTACAGAAAATGGATACACATACAAATGTTTCTTTTGTACTGTAGCCTGTTATAAGTAATGCGTGCTCAGGACCAGCTGGGGATGGTTCCTCACTGCTCAGTCTGGATCCTGTGAGAGAAGCCTGTTTTAGACTGCTGCTTTGGTATGACACAGTGTGGTGTTTATTTTAGATCTTATCTTTGATCCATAATAAATATTGGAAGCTAGTATTCTAGTTGGCACTGATCAGTAAGCTAAGAAACTGGCCCAGTGATGACAACAAAAAAGTCACAACGTAAACATCTCATGTTTACTGTTTATGGAGAAAACAGAGCAAATGGATCTGCGTTTTCATTCCATCTCAGCTGTGTTTATTCAGTCTTGGCAGAACAGAGAATTTGTGGCTGGTATTTGCACTTTCATCAGCATAGTTATACACACCTATGTTTTATGCTATATCCATACTGTTAAAAGATTAAAAAGTTACTTGTTTAATGTTTCTTAGAAATTGCCAGTGTTATTCAGCTGTAGTAGCATGTTACTTTGGGCAGGTGTTGTTTACTCCCTCTTATAAGCAAAAAATGCATTTTAAGGGTCTTGCCTCGTTTCCAAAATGATAAAAAGCAAAAACATGGAGCACAGAAGAGAAATTAAAACTTAAGATAGAACCCCATAAAGCCAATTGGCAACAATTCAGATAAAGTATGAGCTATAAAACATTGATACAGGCAATTTATCTGTGCATTGATAGTGGAAGCTGTTAGCAGTGATTTTCTAACTAAAAGCTTGAATGCCCTAGTATTAATTTCTATCACTCACCAGGTATCTTATAAGACTTTTCAAGTCCCCAGATGACTTAAGTATAGATGATGTCAAAATAGAGAAGTTGAACAAGAGCAGTTTTGTTTTTAGGTAGGGTCTGAAAAGCTTAATCATGAAGGTTTTGGTTTTGTAAAACCAAAATTGAGGGTAAAATTCTGCCCTAACTGAAATGTATGGGAGCTCTGCTGTTGATGTCAGTGGAACAAGTTTTTTACACAGGGGACTTAGTGGTCTTGGTGGACACAGTGTCTGTGAGTGTGTTGAAGTGCTCTTTCAGTGAAGTGATTTCCAGCTACAAAATGGGTCCTTACCCCTAGTCCTGGCAAAATAGGCAGTATCATTGAAAGAGGAGAAGCTACAATGTACCAGTCCAGCTTTCTGTCATTCACACTCAATCTGCTGATACGGACAAAAAATCATTGAAAAATCAACTTTCTATTTCTACTGCAGTCTGTTTCTACAGCAGAGTCAGCTGTAACTTCAGAGTGTGACAGCTGTCGGTAAGGGTCAAAGATCTCTCTAGTACAAGGACTCAGCTCAGAGAATGCAGTTGCAGTTGCTTAGAGAGAAAATAAAAGAAACAAGGCTTGATGATATAGTCACCTCATGTGTGATAGTCAGGCTAAAGACTTTCTGTGACATCTGGACCTCCACAGGATAATGATGCATTTCAAGAAAAAGTAATTATTTTCATTTTCTTTGAAACTGCTGTGTAGTAATTCCTGTAGGTGTCCTCATCATTTTACATCTAAAGCCCAGTTAATAATAATGATCTTTTAATCTTCTCCACACAATTTATGATGCCAAGAACTTGTATTATATCATCGCCCTGGCATAGCTCCCAAACTGAGTGTCTTATTGTAGTTAGTTTGTTCTAATTTTTAGCTTGCCCATGAAAGAAACCTACTTTTTAACTATTACCATTGTTGTCGTCCTTCCCTGTTCCCTTTCTTGCATACCCTTTTTCAGATTACTCTTGCAGCAGACATTCAAGATGCATGTGTGCCATAGATTCAGACAGAGCATAATGGCTGCTTCCTGTTTTATCCTCTATTTCTTTCCTAATAATTTGTGCATTCCACGTGTCCTTTCAGAGGACCAACGGAGCAAAGAGCATTAGCTGGTTCTGAGGGACAGCTCACACATGTGGGCCTGGTGCAGCAGGCAAAGGCTGTCTAGCCCACACCCATCTGATTTTTGCATGGTGATGCCACCCTTGAGTGGCATCTGCAGACAGACTACTGTTTGTGAGAGGAAGCATGAGACTGATACCAGCACTGTCAAAGCCAAAGACAGAGCAGAATATATTAAAGGTGAGACAGCCAAAACAGTTGTGCATTTATAAGTATATGGAGCAATAGGGGACATAAAAGGAGAAAAAAACCCAAGAAATGGGTGTGGGAAATATTGAGTGATACTTGGTTTGCTCAGATTAGAGGCTTTTTCAGGGAATGTTTCTTCATATTGTCGTCTCACAGCCTTCATAAGGAAACCCACAGAAAGCCCCAGTTGTGGAAACTATGAAACCTCCAGATGTGTTTCTTACTTTTTATGCATTCATGTGTTGGGGTGTTTTTCTCAGGTGTCAGATGGGAAAACTGAAGTGATTTACTTATGCCAAGAGAACAGCTCTATTAGCTCTAGTAATTTTTGAGGACACACATTTTTTCAGAAAACATGAATGTTTGGGGCTTAGTACTGACACTTGAACAAATATCTTCTCAGTGCCAAATGACAGCGAGCTGGACTAAAATTTCAAAATGGCATGCAGCAATGCATTACAGGAAAGCTTTACGGCTTGAAATTACGATCCATGGTTCCATGCGATTCATTAGCAGCAAAATTCTACACCAAGACAAAGCGTATGTCTGGTTTAGGTTGTTATGAGCAGTGTCTGTAAACCACCCAGTGGATAAGGAAGCTTTATGTGAAGAGGGAAAATTAACAACCCTGTGGTGGTTCTGGCACCGTGGAGAAGAGATGCATCCTTGAGCAACTGTTAGAGCGAAGAGAAACATGTGAAGAGACATCCAGAGTCTCTTGTCTTGGCTTCCCTATTTGGAGAACACCGTATTTGGGAAGTTAACACTCTCCTGTGTACTATATATACACACATATATTGGCAGAGCACAATTTCTTAAGGATCAGAAGACAGTGTAAATTTCTGTGGCTCCATGGCTTGTTCTGTGTAATACCAGCTTTCAATAATTTTCCTGGGAAGAGTACTTTAATGATGGGATGGTTGGTAAAGGTAATGATTTAGTCCAATGTCTAACTTCAGAAGAATCAAAAGCAATTATTGTTTTGGCAAGTGAATTAGAAGACTGATTCAAAGTACCTCATAGTTGGCAGTGTATGCAGAAGTTTTATTAGCCTATAGTTGCATCCCGTATAGTAGGGAAAATTACATAATGCTCCATGGAGTTCAGCAAAAGCATTATAGAAATTTTTGACTAGTGCGTAGTCTCATCACAAAATGGATAATACAGCAGCCTCTTTCTGAACAGCATGACTTGTATGCCCCCCTGAGCTTGGGACGGTGACTTGTAGCACAAGCTCACTCACCTCATTGTCCTGATGATTAATTTCACTAAGATTTGACTGCTGCAGAAGCACGTTCAGAAGCCTGCAAAAGCAATGACATAATCAGTGTCCTGTACTCCTGACTAAACCTGAAAAATTGATATTTTTTTGAGGAACAAAACATCCAATTTCAAGAAAAATCAATGATGGGGACAGGTCAGAGTCTTAGGTCTGAGCTTTGTCATACTAGACAAGCAAATAAGTCTTAGGGGCTTACTGTAACAACAGAAGTTTAGTGCTGGGAATTAAAAGCAGATTCACTAGGAAGAATTCTTTTGCTAATTTCCAAGCCAGAATCAGAATATGTAATATTATACATGTGTGCAGTTTTTGGCACCTTAACAATCCATTGTCATCCTGCTTTATAAAGTTTTAAACAAGTATTTGGCCAAATAATACAAACAAGACCAGCTTCTGTAAGGATTTTTCACTCTCATTAACTCAGAGTAATTTGATGTTGTGTACACGTGTGTGTGTATGTGTGCATACTATATATTTGCACATTCAGAGACCAATAATATTTTACAAGGCCTTACAGTGTGTTTGCTGGGATAGGGCCATTGTTACTGTATAAAATAGAGCAACACATTGGTTCGTGTTTTTATAGAACATCAGATTACAAACACTCCCCTCTGGTGGAGGGAACAGTTACAATTAAATAGTTACATGAAATACTCTAGCAGTGCAATGATATTTCTAACACTGCATGGACTTTGTTTTTCTTTTCCTTTTGGTATCCTATGAAGATGCTCTGAAATCGCTAAGGGTTTGGCAAAATGACTGTGCTTTACAGTAAGATGCTAAGTGTTTGGGTCAGGTACATGGGTGGACCATGTAAATGAAAAGGACCATCCTGTCACAGGCTGTAACAAAGCCAAATAGCATAGATCCTAATACCGATGTAAAGTTATGATTCTAGCAAAAGGAAAGATATATCCTTAGGGGATTTTTAGATAGATACGAGTGTAATGCAAACCTGTGGCTCATCTGAAGTTGCAAGAAACCTTAAAAATAAGGACATTTAAAAGTCATGCTGTTTCGCAAGGAAACTAAAAGATGATGAAGTGTCAAGGAGAGAACTCTGATAAATGCATACAAGCATGTGTTTATACCCATGCAGAGCAGACAGAATGAAAATCGCTTGCAGCTTTTAATCAGGACAGTCTTCAACAACTTCCAGTTCTGGACTGAGCTGTGCTCATGTTTGTGGATCAGATAAAGTTGAGAATGTTGTGACAAATTTGTCTGTTTGTTTGTTTTCCTTTCTCCCACACTGCTAATTTGTATATGGATACGAATACTTGTAAAAAGAGAATGTTACACCTCCTTTTCTAAGTCACACAGCCAATGACATAACAGAGTTATACTGTAGGAACTCTGAAAATTATGACATTTTAGGATTGCTGTGATTAGTTTGGTAAAAATTTGTAAACGGGAAGAGACATTTTGTGGTCCTTTGGCACAATGACTCAGAATCTCAGAAATTCAGTATCCAAAACCTGATCTGGATAAAAAAGTGAACAGAAAGAAAGTGAGATAAACACAATACGTTTGTAAGCACCATTTACCACATAGTTTTATAATCTGATATATAATTTTGTAGTTTAACCCCATATATGATCAGTGAAATCTGTGTATGTGAAGGAAATGTCAGTCTTTGAGTGTAAAACCTCTATCAAAAATGAACTTTGGCTCACCTATATCCTTAGACCATTACGGCAACACAGAGTCACAGAATCATAAAATCATAGAATGTTTTGAGTTTGGAGGGACCTTTGAAAGTCATCTAGTCCAATCCGCCTGCAGTGAGCAGGGCCTTCAACTAGACCAGGAGCCCCATCCAACCTGACCTGGAATGTTTCCAGGGATGGGGCATCTACCACTTCTCTGGGCAACTTGTTGCAGTGTTTCACCATCCTCACCGTAAAAAAATTCTTCCTTGTATCTAGTCTAAACCTACTTTCTTTTAGTTTAAAACCATTATGCCTTGTCCTGTCGCAAGAAGGCCTGCTTAAAATACTGTGTCCCTCTTTCTCATAGGCCCCCTTTAAGTACAGAAGGGCTGCAATAAGGTCACCCTAGAGCCTTCTCTCCTCCAAGCTGAACAACCCCAATTATCTCAGCTTTTCCTCACTGGGGAGGTGCTCCAGCCCTCTGAACATTTTTGTGGCTTGCCTCTGGACCTCTTCCAACAGATCCATGTCTTTCTTATGCTGAAGGCTCTAAAGCTGGACACAGTACTCCAACATAAGTGTTACCACTCTAATATGTACGTATTCAGTCATGCATCAGGACATTCTCTGATATTGATAGGACAATGGGCAATGGTTTTAAACTTGAGCAGAGTAGATTTAGATTGGACATTAGAATTTAGATTAGACAATAACGAAATTCTTTACTATGATGGTGGTGAAACACTGGATCAGGCTGCCCAGAGAGGGTCTGGAGGCCCCATCCCTGGAAACATTCAAAGTCAGTCTTGATGGGGCTCTGAGCAACCTGCTCTAGTTGGAGATGTCCCTGCTTACTGTAAGGAGGGTACACTATTTGACCTTTTGAGTTTTTTTCCAACTCAAAGCATTCTATCATTCTGTGATCTACTCTTAAAGGCAGATCAGTGACAATGAGCATGTTGGAAAATCCTCCCCCTAACTGTTCCAGGCTTGTCTTCTCAGAATGGGCCCAACCCAGCAACAAGGCAGATGAAAAGGAATTGAGCAACTGGTGGACTGTGTCCTGTTGGTAAAGTATGCTACATTTCCCTTTCAGGTAGCAGCATGTGCAGCATTGCACAAACATTGTCTTCTTTCTGTGGAGGCTTTGTTTAAGGATACTGACCTGTACTTTTGCCTCAGAATGTTCTCCCTGAGTGATGCATGAAATGAAGTACCAATGTGGAAAATTAATAAAGTTGTTAAAACAGGCTGGAGAGCAAGACCAGCTGAAGCGTGAGGCGGTCTAGGTTGGTCTGATATAGCAACAGCAATAAAAGCATAGATGTGGTGATTAAGTCACATGAACATTTTTAATGTTTTACCTGTCTTGAATGTCTTCCTATCTCTCCAGACATTAATTACTTAGAAGGGTTTTTAAAGTGAATATATTCAGATGTACAAATCAAAGTTTGTCAAATCTTCCTACTATCAAAGGCATGAAAAAGACAAGAAGGATTTTTCTTAAGACTTCTCGTGAAGACACTCTGTGGTTGTTATTCCACCTTCAGTAAAAATAGTTTTAAATGAGCCAGTCCAGCAAACCTCAGCTTCCCTTTTACAGGAGGGGCCCTCAAAGAAGCTGTTTCATTGAAAGCTTTTCTCACATTTGCCACTCTACTCAGAGCAGAAGTCCAGAGAAGGAACTTGTAATATTTCTTGTGGTTGAGGTGGTAGAAAGGTAATTGGTCAGGGGAAACATAGGGTTTCAAACTCTAATTAATATTCCCTCCCTCACCCTTGATCTTAAACCTTGCTTCTCATCTTACTTGGCCAAGTATTTCTGTTACACAAGTGTTGTACAATGTTTTTCCTTCTCTCTGCCCTCTTTATGATAACGACTAAACAATGGAGCAAGCCACAAGTGTTACTGTCACAGCTTATTTTCCTGACTCAGGCTCTGCTTTGGTCTGGGTACCTTGTGTTGGTGACTACGTGTTGAGATTCAACCACCAAATGCTGTTGGAGCGTGGGGCATACCTCACGTCAGGCTCTGCAGTAGCAGCGTGTAGTGGCAACCTCCCATTTTTGTCAGGTATGTTTTGCTTAGCACCATTTCTGAGCAGGCTGATACAGCCTTCCAGCCAGCCCTAAAAAAGAAATAGGAGCATGTCAAAGATGAAAGTGAAATGCATCAGGCCAGACTTCTGCTTGGTGCTTCTGGCATCTCTGTGTGACTGTAGCTATTTCTGCCAGCAGAGGAACTGGTCTTTTGTTTCCCTGGCAGTTTTCTCAGTGCTGAGAGTAGTTTTCCTTCTTTTCCAATCCAAGTCTTCCGAGTGTTAGACTAGCTCAGTTGTTAATTTCTGTGATGTGGGGTTTTCTTTACACGGCATTTTTTTTTTTCTGCAGCTGTGCAAGTACAACTGAGTAAGCAGTGGTTAAAAACTTGCTAATTCCTGCATCACTAGCAAATGCAATGCATATTCCTGCATGTGGATTTAATTATGGTGGGTTGGACCAAGAACGTGAGCACCTAATCTTATTCCTTTATGAGATTTTAGCAGGGATGGCAAATCAATTGCAAAAAATCGCCTTTGAGTGTGTTTTTATAATCATTGTTGCAGAGTTCTCAATTAGTGACGAAATTAGACTGAAAACAGCACCAAAACAGATGGGATGAATCAGTTATTGGACTAAAACCTTATATTCATCACCTCAGCAAAAAAAAGAGTAAACAATCTGGTTGCAACTGCATAAATCTTTCAGTGGGTAAGTCCCAGAGAAATCAAGCATCTGTTTAAGGGATTTGTTCAAACCTCTGCAGGCAATTGAGGGAGACTGGTTCCTCCTGTATAAACTATGTCAGATTAGCATTACAAGCATTTATACAGAAAAGGTGTAGAATGACAGAATCAGAATATCCCCGTTGCAGCTACTGATGCAAGTACAAGACCACCAAATTCTACATGTAGCTGTGGCTATGGAGCTCTTCTGAATTCAGTTCTCTGGACAGACATCACAGCCAAATGCACTCTAGACCTCTGATTATATCCAGCACAGAATCAGAAATGGAAACTTCAAAGCCAGGGTGGTTTAAATATTTTCCAGTAATTTCTTTTTTAGAAAAGAATATTTTTTCCCCTCTGGGAAAAGAGGAAGGAAAAAAGGAGCGTGACACTAATTACGGGATTTTAAAAAAATATCTGGCAGAGGCACTGTTTATTCTCAAGTAACTGGGGCATACTCTTGCACTGAATGAGACTGCCTGTTGTACTCTTTTGTACATTTATTTTCTGACTGAATATTGCATAGCTGAGCAGAAGCATTGTTTTTGTCCTGAATTTGCAGAAAGAAACTAGATGCGAAGGGTGTGATTTAATTAGGTTGCCATGATATCTGTTTAAAAGAACGGGCAGTCATCCAGCCATAACTCATACCATGTAACGTGTGTGAACATTCCTTCCCCTTTTCTGTCCAACTAATAATGGAAGTCCATGGTCAGCCCCTCTGCACAACTAACTTGGTCTCTGTCCGCTTTCTAAACCCTGAATTGCCTCCAGAGGGGAGTAGAAGACTAAGGAGAAGGGGACCATTCTTGGGTGCTTCAAACAGAGAGCACCACATCTCCCTTCCCAACCTCTTAGCTGGATGTCTGCCCTTGCTATCACTTGCCTAGGGGGTTGGTTGGAAGATTGGATTGCTTATGATCTGAGTTTCTGCACTGGCACCTGCAACATCTTGACTTTAAGTTCTTCACCTGGATATCCTAGGTCCATCACTGTAATGAAAAAAAGCAATGCAGGAAAACATGCCTGCTGACCACCAGAATTTGAGGTAGGAATTTTCTCTCTGAAGCACAATAATTTAATTCTGACAGTGTGAAAGGAGAAATTAATCTCCATATTAAGAACAAGAGAGGGCTTTCCAGTGCATGGAAACAAATGGCTTTCTTGAAACCACAGAGAGGACTCTGGATCTAGTGAGATCCCCATACTATGCACAAAAAGGGACACTCTGATAGGTGTCCTGAACATTCTCTAATAATCGTTGCTTCCAGCTTTGCATTATAGTAAAGTTCACAATTTCACTTGTGTCTAGAATGAAATATTCTGTACTTTTTTCTTTCTGTAGTATAAACAGAAGTCTTATTTGGTCTGCACATTTACTCCCTTCACTCCACATATCTTTCCACCCTACTCGCCCAAGTCTTGGTACCAGGTAAGTTGCCAGAGTTAAACTGGTTCGTCCACAAGCATCTTGAGTGTTAATATTGGCTCCCATCTTCAACAGAAGCTTCACTGTATCAACCTGGCGTCCGGACACAGCATGCATCAAAGGTGTGCAACCTGGGGAAGAAAGTCAAATGTTCCTTTAAAATTTTTATTTTGCCAAGGCCATAAGATAGAGATATTTTCTTATTTGCTAATGTTAGCACTGGCAAAGTAACAAAACCTTTCCCTGACAACTGTCCAACAGTTGTACTCAGCTTTTTGTAGGCAGGAAGCAACTGCTATGCTAGTTACTGACCACTGATTTTAAAAAAAAGCATGACTTCATTAGCAAAAGGTCTTGCTTCATTAACTCTCCTTCTGGAGGGAAAAGTGTTTTTCTGTTGACAGGCTCCCAGTAGGAACTGTTGGCTTTGTACACTGTTTTGGAGGCTGATACTCTTCAGAGTGACTTGTAGCAAGATGGTGGTTGGCTAATTTTCCCAAATCCCAGCTTAATTCTGTCACTGTATTCAAAAGATTCATGAAATCAAGCCCTGTCCTGTGCAAAGGTGTGTGCATGTGAGCTGGTGCTTTCTATAGGCAACAACTTATTTTAAAGACTGGATTTGCTCTAGAATAGTTTCTTATCTGTTGTCATGAGATTTATTTTCTTTTTATATTCTGCAAACAAATTCTGTGCTGGAAAAAATGTGAAATCTGCATTCAAACCTAATATTCAAATTCTGTCATGAAATATTATGATATCTTTTAATTGCTTCCTCTTCCTTTCATTCTGTTAACTGCTGAATAGCAGCAAGAGATTTTCCTGCAGAACCTGACAGAGCAATTTAAAATGACTAAGCTGGGAATAAACATGAATATTAGAAACTTCTGCTACTAGAAACTTCAAACCCAACTGGAGGGTAATTATTCCTACTGTATTACAATGAGACTGCTGAGCAAATGTGTGCTATTCAACCTGAGGTTATGCAGACTGCCATACGTGCAGGATAGGAGCCATATGTTTAATCTCACAAGGCTGGTCTTATGTCCAACCTCGCAAACTTATTCTGGAGCAGAAATAGCGTTTGCTCATCAGTCTGTCTCCACCTGTTGCCCTTCATATCCAGTCCCTCTCCCATTAAATAACTGGACTGAGAATATTTTAGCTTGATTAAGTGTTTTCTCTACTGACCAACAGACGTTTTAAAGATAACAGTTAGGATATCTATAGTGCAGGAAAAATTGGTAACTTGATCAAAACTCATGAAGACTAGAATAAGCAGTGTTCATATAGATCCTTCAAAAGAAACTGCAATGAATAAAGTCTTCCTTGAGAGAAGCTTCTAGAGATCTGTGGTTGTAACTCACTTGGAAAATAGATGCATATAAAATCCAGCCATGGGACAGCAATTTGTAATACATTAAATAGTAACTTGAACACAAAATGAAAAGGACCACAGTCTCCCAGGTAAAACAGATTATTTTGATCATTGTACTGCTAACCCTTTGGCAGACAATTACGTGATAAAATTATTCAAGCTGTGTCTTTGTCCATACTTTTTAAGTGCAAAATACTGAATCCGTCTACTCTTGAGATGTGCAGAATGTGTATTTAGCTCTGACAATTTTTTTTTTCCCTTCCTTGAGATGATAACAATTTCTCAACATGTCCCTAAAGAAAATAAAACAGAATCAAGATAAAGTACTGTGTGACTACAGCAAAACAACTTACTTGTGTCCGTATTAAAAAAATCGTATGACCACGGCAGGAAAGAAGCATACAAACTGAGCATTTCCTGTGGATGTTCCAAAGAACAACTCAAATGTCTTATATTCAGCTACTAAATATAATTTTCTGAACACAAAAATCAGGACAAAAAAAAAAAGGGGGGGGGCGGAAATTTAATTGCAGGCTGAAGCAACTGAGCCCTTGAGAACAAGCTCAGCATTCATTTACCCTCACTGTCGCAGCACTCCAGGATGGAAGGATCTTCTCGAATCACTGCAGTTAGTGTGTTCACATCACCATTAGCAGCTGCTTGGTAAACTACAGTCAAATCAATCTCTTCTGTTGCATCACCTGCAGGGGAGGAGTATGTCTGTGAGTAAGCAGAGAGCAAGTACAACTGATTAACAGTGAAAATAATGACATTTATTTCACTGAGTTTTTATGACTGTGTAACTTGAGGTGGAACAAAGTGTATCTAAACAGCACTTTGGTTTTTGTTAGTCATCTAAAATTTGTTTTTCATCATAACTTATTCCAAAAAGTGTCAGACATAGACTGGGAGAGGACATATGAAAACTTCTGGAAATTTTCCACTTCTTATAAGAAATCATAACATTAATGTAACATGACTTGAAAAACAGTGAAGTAATAACTGAACTAGCTCATTATATTGCTGGCTACACTTGGATAGGATGAACCTCAGGACACAGGTGTTTTCTGTTTCTAGTGACATTGTTATTTTCACACTAGTGAGAAGACTGAGGCTTTTCACTTCCTTTCCTTACAGTGTCCAGCAGAGTTCTCTTATTAGGAGAGTGAACTTCCGGCAGCAATGGTTTGTGTTAATAATTCCTGTAAAAAAGGAAAGGTAGACTGTATTTTGGAATCCAGAAGAGGTTTATTTTTTTGGCAGTTGCAGTATGGCATATTGTTTAAAGCAGATGCTTTGCAGGACCTATTCCCTAAGGCTCCTCAGATTTTTCTTTCTAGAGAAATGAATGTGATTATTCTTTCTTTGTTTCTTTGCTGGTTATTCCTTCCAGACTGCTTCACATGACTACACCTCCCTTGGAATCAAGTGAACTATTAACCTGTCTAGTCTAGGACTCAAAAGAGTGGATTTTTTTTTTGGTGCAGGGTCAAAGTTGATGTAGTGACAAAATATTCTGTGTACATATTGTTGGTCAGCCATGGTCTCATGTTTAATTTAAAAAAGAGTTTCTGATCTTTTAGAAGAAATACAGCTGCAGTGAGCTGTGCTGTTCACAGTGGCTAAGGGTCAGAACTAGAGAGTGTAACTCTTGTCCAACCACTGCATTACCTTGTTAGCAGGAAAAAGTAGAACTGTCACATAAATCACACTAGAGAGCTGATCAAAGGAAAGACAGATTAAGTTACTGGTGACTTTTTCTTACTGTCATGTCTTCTGGAGAGAGCATAAATACATAAGCTGTGCAGAAAAAAAGGGAGATGGTTTAAAGAGAATTTGGAAAGTTAGTAAAAAGTCTTTATCATAACCAAGCAATATATTATTATTAACATATTAATATAAACTATATTTTAAAAGTTGTCATATAAATTTTGGACTGATAAAAGATTTTAAAAGGTAATTTAAAATTAGTAGCCACAATTTTCACGTTGTGGTCAGAGGTTGCAGCTGAACCCACATCAACTCCATGCAGGGATTTATAGCCCAGCACAATTACCCACGTGACCATCTCTCCCTAGGATTCAGTTATCACTCTTCTCTTCTCTTCTCTTCTCTTCTCTTCTCTTCTCTTCTCTTCTCTTCTCTCTTCTCTTCTCTTCTCTTCTCTTCTCTTCTCTTCTCTTCTCTTCTCTTGTTTAAAATTACACATTTGATAAAATTAATAAATGAAAAATGTTAACTTGATTCATTTTCTATTGAGGAGTCTATTGCTGAGGAAACTGTTCATTTGGCTCAGAAGCTTTGGCCTGTGTGCTTGGGAGATCAGGAGAGACTAGGAGACATGGTTCCTCGAGAGTCATCTCCTCTGAGGAGTCATCAGCACTGACTAGTATATGAAAAAATGAGTGACTTTACCGCAGGGCTGATTAATCAGATTTCCTTATTGTGACAGATCTGCAGAGTGCTCTCACAATCAGTACACTCAGCAAAGACATGTTAAGAACAAGCTCAAGTCTGAGCTAGTAGAGGGTTGTAGTATGGGCTGGGCAGAAGGCAAAGACACAATTCAGAGGTTCCACGCTCGTTGTGCTCCTCTTGTGTATCTCCTGGAGATACACGAGGTGCCAGTCATGAGCACTGACACAGCTCCTCTCACAGCTCCGTGTGTGAGCTACTGCATAGGAACGGTACAGAGAAGATGCTGCTGGCACTGGGAAAGAAACCTTCAGAGGTACTGAGACAGACAGTGGATCAAAGGAACTCTCACCTCTTTTTATGCATTACACATGTAAATTTTGTACTTCTTGCTGTTTAGTCTTGTAAGCACTGTTAAATTTTCCTGCTATGAGTCAAGAGCAGAGCAATCCAGCCATAAAAGGAAGCTTCATCTCCAGAGCAGAGCAGTTGCCTACCCGGCAGGCAGGATGACAGGAAGATGAGGGCATGGATGCATACATGCATGTGGATCCCTGACTCCCTATGTCTTTTTTCATCTAACAAAAGGATGTGGTACCTTCCCCCCCGTGCCTTTGCTTCTGCTGGGCTGAATCTGCTTCCCCCAGAGCAATTATCCTCCTGTATAAGGAGAGTAAGTAAAACTATGGATGGATGGATGGATGGATGGATGGATGGATGGATGGAGGGATGGATGGAGGGATGGATGAAGTTTTCCCCATGCCTGCTCTTGGAGAGCACAGGCTCCACTCCTTCTAAGGGACAGTGGCATGGAGCCACATCCAAGATTCACACTTCCCATCCCTGAGTCCTGTCTCTCAGAGCAAGGGGAGGCAGGTGCCACTCTGCTGGCAAGGGATACTGGCCAGGAGGAATTGATGAGCACCTATATCATGCATCCGCCATAAAGCAGACTGACGCTAATTCTGTTTCTGTGGGGTGGCATAATTTCGAGAGGAGCAAGGGTAGGGAGAAACTGCAGACTGACACAACAGTGACATAGAAAGGTCTGGAAGAGTCTTAGTGAGAAAAGACCAAATGACACAGATTTGTGACATATTCTTTTGTAGCTAAATTCCTCAGAAAGAATCAAAGTTAAAAGCCAATCTATATGAAATATGCAGTGTTTGAAAAGTATTTAATTTCTTTAAGACAAAATAATTTTAGTTGGTATAGGTCGTATATAAAGAAACATGCAGAATGGCCACAGAATTCAGAGCAATGAAATTATACTTCTTGTGACATTAATTCTTGTCTGACTCTCCTATGAAGAATGCATGTTTGACACAACTCAGCTGATGTGTTGCTTTACAAAGTCCATGTTAGGTGTATATAAGTGCCTGCTTTCTCCTCCATTGAATTTTAAAGGTCTAAATAAATTTGCTGCAGTTTAGTGTATGAGATTGTGACAATTACTGATTTAGAACTTGGTAAACCACTAAGTTTTGAAACCAGAAGGCTGGATAAGAGGATAATATATGTTCATTCTGAAGGAGAAACATTCATGTATATAATTTACACCCCTCTTTCCTATAAACCCTCTTGTCTTCACCAGTAACCAAATGCCTTGTGTGATTTCCCACCGCTTGTTGGCAGGACATAATACTAGGCAGTTATTTGATTTTAGCATGTCAGTGTCAAAGGTCAGCAGGAGGTGAATGGGTGCAGTTTTTGGAAATTGTCATTTGCTCTCTAATATCATGGATTTATTAATTGCTTAAAAAAGTTATAATCCCTGTGTGTACCTGGCTCTGAATCTACCAGTCCAGGCCCTTGTCTGTCTTCAGATAATAACATTTGAAGCCAGGTTCCACATATTTAAATGGCACCAGCAGTGTTAGGAGTGGAGGGGTTTCTGATGTTGCTTGGCTTCTTTGTCACACATTGCCACTGCTCTTACTACTGATAAGTATGATACGTTATTAATGAGCAGTGCCATAGGAAGCGTTGCAGAGAGGCAGTATGATTTTTGAGTCTCAGAATGTTGCTTTTTGATCTTTAGCTAGAATAGTTTTCTGATGAGTGGGGTGGAGAAAGATTTTGTAGGTAGGGTAGGATTATTTTGTTGGATCCACAAATATTGCTCTGGCATGTTTGAAAGCTAGTCTGTATTACTATGTTGTTATCAATTGCTCCAGCGAAAGATATTCTCCTCCTCCTTGCTAAAAAGTTATGCTTTCTTAAATCAGTAATGTGCCAAGACATGAACATGCTATTTAGATAAAATCCACCATCTACTGTAAATTTTGAACAGAGCCTACTTTCCATTATTGTGTGTTGTCTGCTTCTGCTCCCCATCTACCTCCCACACAACTATCAAGGAAGGCAAACAGCCACAAATCACCTAGTGATCCAGCATCCCTGCAGTGGTGCTGGAGGGGAGACGATGAATTTACCTGGAGGGGACCTGCCTGCTGATGAGGTGCTGTGAATGGAGTGTGACATGGGGCTGCAGATGTTGCTGGAAAGGACTAAGAATAGACGAGCGTGGAGAGTAGCCTGACAGGAGGAGGGGTTGCAGGTTAGGAGCAAGGGGAATTAGAGGGAGATGTATAGATGGATAGATGGACGCATAGGCATGCCAACTCGCTCACTTCTATCCTGGTTAAGGTGGTTTGGGTCAGGGTTTCCTCTATTGCTGTCTGCCTCCCTATCCATCTGGCGACTTGGTTTCTTCCCCAGCCCAGGTCATATTCCAGCCTCATTCCTGGCACCACTTCCATTGGCTCCCTGGCATCCATCCCACCACTCTGAGAGTGCAGGGTATCTCCTCATCCCATCTCAGCACTGCTGGGTTGGCATGGGGCACAGAGCATACTCAGAGTGCCTGCAGGAGGAGAGCTTGAGAATGGCTGTTGGGACCCGCAGAAGCACAGTCAGCCCCACACCTCTGACCTGTTGGGGAGAATGCTCTTTGTGTCATTTGCACATGAGCTAGGAGCTCCTGTCTATTCCCACAGTATAGATCCCCCTTCTCTTGTTACAATTCCCTTCCTCCTTTACCCTTGTTCATAATATTTTTTTATCTCTTGTCACTCAGTTTTGGTCAATGGCTTCCCAGTCTTCCCCATTTACTCAGGGTGGGGTCCTGGCTGGGCTGGTGTAGACCAGTAGTCTCCAGACTTGTTCAGGCTTTGAGTGCTACTGTGGCTGAATGGCAGCCGTAAGTCCATTGCTTTACATAGACTGTATTTACTTTGGGTTCACCAAGAAGTGCAGGGAAGCACGAAAGTACAACTTGTGTCTGTCTTCCTCCTGCCCTTCATCTTTTTTCTATAGTCAGGACTTCGTTATGGGGCCATCAAGGCTGTGTCAGCTTGAACGCTTTGCAGGTGTGCACTGGAAAATGTGGCCACTGCATACAAATTATTTGGCAAGTTGGCTTAAAGTGAAATTTGTTGTAACATGGATAATACAACAATGACAGCTTCCTGCTTTGGGAACATAAAAGGCACGCCACTACATTCCTTGTGGTGGATTAAGCCATAAGACATACAAGCTTATAATGGCAAATAAAGACGTTAAATTCAACCATTTAACTTGAAAACAGACAACAGGCATTTGTATTTCCATAGCAACCTTTACCATGTAGAAAACCTTCATGTTGGGTCTTTTCAAGGTATCTTAAATTCACAATTATGGAAATATTTACCTATACAGCAAAGGTTTGCTGAAGCAGCGTTGATCACTTGTCAGCATCTAGTCCTTTAATGCATACAAATGAGTGGACTTCAAAAATCAGCTTTTCTTAAATTTTTGCTCCATTTTAAACTGCTCTGTTTGCTAAAATTGCCATTGTTTTTGTGTATATGTCCATAAGAACACAAAATATCATATAACAATAAATGTGTACCTATACCTCTCAGTGCTAAGCACAAAAGCAAACAGATGCTGTTGCTATTCTGATGAAAAATTTCATTTTAAAAAAATCACTGTAGCAATAGGGTGAAATATACATGTCTAAAACTGATGGGAAAAATTCCTTTATGTGTAACCAAAACAAATCTCTATGAGACCTGATTCTTTTCCAAAAATTCCTGTTATTCATTCTGTCAAGTAATTTCAGTACGTATACGTGGGAGGCTTGTGAAGACCAGAGGATTTTGAAATTAGTAGCAGTTGACTTACCTTTGTGCTGATCAAACACTGATGAGGAACTGAAATCCATTTTGGTCTATCTCATTATTTACAACCAGAGCAGACAAATGCCATCTCCAGGGTTTTCAGGGGAGAATCCCATATATCCCAGTAAACAAAGCAACGATAGCTGTCGCCAGTCTTCTTGTCAGAGAATTAAACTTGCTTTACGGCTGCAGGTTGTTGTCAAGGCAAGGACATTATCACCAGTCTGATGGGAACAGTATATTCTTATTTGTTATGGACCCTCTTAAAATGACATCCCTGGAAGATTAACCGAGCTTCAGAAAAACCTCTTAGCTTCAGCAAGTGAAGCTGCCTACGAGCAGCTCTGAGAGATGCTGCAGCTCACCCAGCCTCAGCAGCTGAGCGCTGCCCGTAGACAAACAAGCCTCGCCTTGGAGGGTGAGTGGGACTTGGCTGGCACACGGAGCATGTGCAGAGCTACCAGCACAGGTCGGTGCAGACATCCTCACTGTGCTGGCTGAGCGGCATGTGCTCTGCTCACAAGCAGGCTGCCTGCAACACTGCTGTCTGCATGTGTCTGAGGATAGTTTGTGAAAGGATGCTTTCAGAGATTACGTATCTCCTGGTTTAAGTCCTGCATGGAGAACACAAATTAGCAAGCCTTTTCTGTCTTAGCTGAGTACTACTTACCTACAGTTAGTTAAAGTACAGTGTTTAATGAAGGGATAATGGGAGAGAGCACATTGCCATGGCTGAAGTGAGTAGTGACAGCTCCAACAGCATAGTGCCAGTGCAACAGGTTTAATACGTCATTGCAGATGTTCCGAACCCCGTGTCTACCAAAGCTACGGCAGACCCACATCTTCACACTATTTCTTCGGCTGGGCCTCTGGCTACCTAAGTTGTGAGCACAGACTCTGTACTGTAAAGGGGAGGGGACCCTGGTGAACTTTGCTTTTTGCTGGGTTGTTTCCCAGAAATAACAATAAATGGACTGACTTGGAATTTACCTAGAGCAGTGGATCACCGACAGTACCCAGGGGCTGGTGGATGGAAGGGATATAACAAGTTTACTTAGCACTTGTGCACTAGAAGAAACACATCACTACTGCTAAATAATTCAAACTTATATATGAAAATCAGGAAATGCGAGAAACTTTTGGCCCAGACAGGACCTACAGTAAAGCTACGCCCAAATCTGGTCACCTTAAGAAGCCTCTAGACTTTGTTCACTGTATTTATTCTATTCTGGTGTTTTGACCAACTGCCATGACTACTATAGATGCTAGAGACATAACATACATGCAGACACTGTAGGAATTGTGTCTGGAACTGATTCACATCCCAAGCATCTGCTTCTGAACCTAAATCCAAACTATGTGTTTGGAAAAACATAGTATGGTCTAGGAAGCAACACAACTACAACAGCTTGAAATGAAAGACCAGAATTGAAATTCTCCAGAATGTGGCAGCGTAATCTGCTTAAGGGTCCTTAACTGTCAAAAGGCATGTGGTGGAACTGTAGAGCCAGAGATTGGTTCTGCTTTCTCTACTGCTAACTGGTTCATGCTTTGGGTCATCTCAGGCCTTTTGTTATATTGAGGAGGGATCCACCGTGTGGCAAGTGCTGTCTGTGCAGTCTGAGAGTAGAGTATTAGTTACACAGACAATCAGCTCCTAACTGGCATCTTCTTGCCAGAAGGGTGGCGTAGGGACTGGCACTGGCAGGTCACAGTCCACTCCATCCAGTCTACTACCCCAGCTCTGCTCAAAAAGCTGCCATGGCTGCTGACTTCATGGAGGAGGCACTGGAGCTGGAGCTGTCTCTTTGGCCAGGCATTTTGAACAGCAAATTATCACTCCTAATGATCTTCAAAAGACTCCCAAAGTGGCTTTTGGTTCCTGCATCTGACAGGATGCACTTTGTCCTCTGTATACACAGGTTTTCTAACCCTAGACACTGCTGCAGTGCTGGTTACAGGGTTAGCTCACCACTCCACTGTCATCTACCTAATCCAATCTATTAAGTACTCAGAGTTTTATCTGACCATTTATCATTACTAGGTCTCTGTCCTACCACACTACTCCTGAGATGGAGGCAATGGGCTTTGAAGATAGGTGATCCAGTCTTATTCTTGAATTAGCCTGGGAATGAGGTTCATTGAAGCTACGTAACCAGGGAATCTGGCAGCTGATTCCTTGTAGGTCCCATGCAGGGCACAATGTTCCCTGTAGCACTATGCACATTTTCCAGGGGCTCCACTTGCCTTCAGATGTAGGTAAGCCAGGCATTTCCTCTGAGACAGGTGTCCACTGCACAACAGGACTGGGTGTTTGACAGCCAGCAAATCCTGCCCTCTACATCCATGAGAAGAGAAGCAAGGTAAATGCTTTAGCAAAACCTTTCCCTGTGGCAGATGTATTACAGCTCAGAGGGTGCAAAAAAAGCTGAGATTTAGGAGTTTGGCATCAGTCATTGACTTCTCTGTATCTTTTCATTCCTTCTTTAGAAGGCTTGAAAGAAATGTCTCCAAGTTCATCAGGGCCTCCTGTACTCAGTGGCTATGAAAACAACCCTGGCTAAGGATGGCAAAGCAACAAAAGTGTTGGAGCCTGATCTTGGCAGCAGATACAGATGATAAATTTAATATTGTTAGTTTACATTTTTCTTTAATTTAAGCAAAGTGTTCCTGACTTTGTAGTAGGTAGTTGGATTTATTTTGGGTGATTTTTTTTTTTATTTTAAAAAAGTGTTGAAGAGAGAGAATCAGAAGCAAAACCTTTTTGTGTGTGTTTATTTGCCCACATATGCCTATTCATCAGTGTTTGGCTGTATGTAAGGGACTTAACTCTCCTTCTAATTGTTGTTCATTAGGTGAATGCAAAAGTTGTGAGACTATGGGGAATGGTCGAGACATATTCAAATGTTATGTAAATGTTATTTATTGGGGTGCAAAGCAGGGCTGAAGACCGGCATTGGAGAGACCGAGAGATCATCGGTGCTTACAGCTGACAGTACCTGCTCTGTGCCACAGTGCCATCCATCATGAGAATGGACTCAGCCTACATACCTGTCCTCTCCCCGCAGAGGACATTGGCAAGTGGGCGAGGGTTCTGCGTGCATTTCACCCTGACCCAGCCAGTGCTTCGGAGGATGATCTCCTGCCTTTGCAAAGCACCTGGCCCAGCAGTGCCCCCTCTGTAAGGAGCACTGCCAGCTGCCAGCACTGCAGAGGCTCAGCCCCAGGGCTCTAGTGTCTCCCTGCTTTCTTCACGAGTGTACTGCAAACCTAAACACAAACGGGTGTATTGTACACCCTCTGTGTTGCTTGGTGAGGAGGTAAACTAGTCAATGGAAGTCAACATGAAAAAATGGATAATGTCAACATTCTCTTTCGATTCCTAATGAAATCCAGTAGTAATAATCTGATTATAAAGTATTTAAAGTATCATGATACATGCAAACTAACTGCTGATTGGATTTGGAGCTCCATCCTGAATGCTGGGAGTGTTAGCATCAAGGTCAAATGTATGTATGTGCAGAAGTCAGACGTTGAGGCAGGCAGAAGGATTCATCTGTGCTCTCTGGTGGGGACTGATCTGGGGTTCAACTAAATGAGCAAAATCTCTGTTAAAATTTCAGCAGATAAACAGTGACTGAAGAAAGGAGAATAAATCACAGAATCAGAGAATGGTTGGAAAGGATCTTTAGGATCATCAAGTCCAACCATTATCTAACTACAAGGCCAGTAACAGCTATATCTTAGAGGTTTCCCCCATGAAAAGTAAGACAGAATGAGGAACTGTTCTGCTCTTCTCCCTGCTTTATAAGGCCAAAAACTTTCTCTGCTAAGTCAACATGACTTTTTGCTATTTACTTCAGTGGGATTAGGGCATCTTGCATTGTATGATTTATTTGGATATCACTACATCTGGTGAGACAAATTTAGTAAGAATCATGCTTGACAGTATGCTCTGTAATTACAGCATGTCTGTTAAACAGTAACTGGTTTTATGGATATTGTTTTCCCAAATGATAATCTAGTTAGTTTGTAACTAACTAAATCAAATTGAAATTTTTTCTCTGATTGTTGTGCCCTCTTCAGAGGGACTGATGAGTCTCACAGGAGTTTATCACGCTTACTGTGCTGTAGCTTTTGATTGCTACCCTCCAAAGACTTCTTCATGATATTTTCAGGTCTAAACTGCACTCCATACCTCTGGCATGGTGTAAGGCTGGTTTGAAGCGCCTGATGGTGTGGACAAGCCAGATGTGCATGTGGAGGAGCAGGCTGGGTGGGTGTGGAGACCTGCTGAGTCAGGACAGTCATGGTGCAGGTATGTTTGTACTGGGTGCACACCTCTGTCTGCAACACCAGGGAGACAGAGACAGGGCATGTCACATTTGTAGCATTACATTGGTAAAGGAAAACTTACATGCAAAATATTTTATTTTATTTTATTTT